AAAATTATGAAGAGAGGGCGAAGAAAAAGCGCATACTAAAATTAAAACTGTTGATAATACAGGCCCGAGGGCCAAGCAAAATCATGGGAGGTGGATGCGGAGGTGGAGGTGGTGGTGGTTGCGTGTGCGTTGTTTTATACAATTACGTAGCTCTATCTGAAGAACCCTAAGGTGACATATGGGGCGTGGGGAGCGGGACTTGGGCTTATGTCATACTACTATATAGCACACACCTTGGAAGTGCGCCACTAATCGGGGGATGGGACGACGGGGCAAGGGGCTATGCTGATAGGAATGGGGACATCTAATCTGTTTGCATTATTCTGATACGACTTTATTTCTCCTCTATTCGAGCTATTTTTTTACATTTTTTTCATAATATATCGAACTTTACTAATAGGTCTAATACCGTTATTATTTACACTGGCTTTATTTTCTGATAGTTATCTGATTAGCGCTACGTAATCAGTTTTATTTAATCCGCGAGCATCTATATACATAAGTAGCTCTTCGGCTGTTATACTAGTACTTGAATATTATGTTACTTTTGTATAGGTTTGACTTGAAATCCGGTTTCTTGTTTATATGGAAACAGTTCAGTTCAGGTTTCTTTCACCACCACGTGTTAAAAAGGGTTGATATTGCAAAAGACAAAGGAACATAACTTGTAAATGGGTTTTAGCTTCGGCATTATCTTGGGTATATTTAAAATATTAATATGAGCAGATTTTAAAAATCCCTTTATATATCTGAATGGGATTTTGAAATGATAAATTAAGGTTTTTTGTTAGCGTTCATATAGGTGCTTTAGGTGCTTTTTTAATGGGTTCTATGATATTTTCGTTTATACCTTATATCTACTAATCAATTTGATAGGATCATATTTAAAACGTAGCAATTCTAATTGAAATCAGGTTTAAACCTAACATCTGGTCTAGGCATTCTCATGACAACCACGTGGTTTTAAAGGGTTGGCCTCTCGAGCAGATACTCTCCGCTTTTCCAGCGTATTTTCCATTTGACCAGTTTCCTTGTGGTCGGTCACCTTTTTCCACGCCAGTGATATGAATAGTGGATAATATTGTGACTTGGAGATTTGCGTTTGGTGGTGTTTGGACGCCTCTCGAAATAAATTTACCAATTCGGATGGTGGTGACTTTGCATGCAGCACGAAATTCTCATTCACTGATGTGTGCAACATTTTGCCTTTTCGCTGCCCAAGCACAGAAAGAAAAAACTGATATGGAATGATATATTTAAATGTTATAATAATGTAGAATATATAAAGAAATACTAAAATCATTTGTTTAAGCGGAGGGTGTCGAACCTGAACATCTACATTACAAGCTGTCAAGCCAAAAGGAACTTAAACTTGTTGTCTCTGTAGGATTACCTAGTAATTTAAATTCGAAAACGTTGTTTTTATTAGTTTTTAAGAACTTAGCTACATTTTTTAAGGAGAGAATTTGTTTTGTAATACTAGGTGACTTTTCTTTTTGTGTAAGTTTCTTCATCTACTGTTGCTGCTTCTTCTTTTAGCCGGTGGTGGCTTCTTCTTTCAGCTTTTTCTGCGGGCGGGTGTTTTTTTTTTCTTTTCGGAAATATTGGTGGTGTGAATAAGCTTTTAGCGAAAGGCTTTTTTTTTTTTGCTAGCCGGGTGGTAGGTTTTCCGCATCAGTCCATATATTTTATTTTGGCGGGGGTGGCATCTATGGCTTCTTCTTCTTACTCGTTCTCTGTTTTTTGTCATTCTTCTGCTTCAACAACATATGACATTCAGACAAAGAAGAAGAAGAGGCGGCGAGGAGAGTCCATTTTCCGAATGTCCGATAAGCGCAGCCTGCCAACATCATCATCATCAAAGAAGAAGAGGGAAAAGAAGAAGAGGCGAAATGTGGGGGAGAAGAAGGAGAGGACGAGGAAGAAGCAGCAATTTGATTGCAGAACAAAGAGAAGCGGGCACAAAAATCTCTGCCACACACACACACACACACACGCGTAGAAACACAGAGGAAGATGAATAAAAAAACTTCAAGTGGAAGCAACAACAACAACACGAAAAACAAAAAACGAGCGGCAAAAGAGATGAGAGTAAAAAAAAACCGTGACGCCATTGCTTGCTGCAAAGTGGCATAAAACAGATGCAACAACACGGCGAAGAAGAGGCAAAGCAGAAGAAGAAGAAGCAAGTGAAATTCTTATCAGTCAAGTTTTTTCTTCTTTTTTTTTTTGTCCAAGCCAGACAAAGGCGAAGCAGGCAGAAAAGAAGAAGAAAGGGGAAGGGCAGTCACTCCTCTCAATTAGAAATCTATTTGCAGAAATAAATGCAGCAGAGAGTGGGATGCCCAAGAGAGAGAGAAAGAGCGAGAGGAGTAGGAGAGAGAAGCCCGCATTATTGCGAAGCCTCTGTAATGCACCAATACACACACACATGCACACAATGCACATAAGAAAACCAAGCCAAAGAAATGCAGCAGGCCCTTCAAAATCCACTTTTGACTTTACTAATTCGCATTTCAACAATCTCCAATCAAAATAATGAAGTATTAAGTATTAACATGGAATAAAATACATGAAACGAAAGTTTTAAAACAGTGTTTCTAAGATAAATGTATCACATATTCCAAAAAAAATATCGAAATCCCACAAAAGTTAGTTATTAATATTAATATTTTAGTTCGTTGAAGCATCAGAAAGACAAATTCCCTTAACAAATCTAAAACATTTCGAAAAGAGAATAAGAAAATCCATTCTTCTGCAAGCGAATCGCTAACAGAAGCTGTAACATTAACAGCTGCACCGAGATTAACAGTTGCAGTTAACATTTAGCTTTTAACAGCGCAATGCAACTAGTTGAAACAATGACGTCGACGCTGGCTGCGCTGCCTCCCTCGCTCTTTTTTTTTTGCTTTTCCTTTGGCTTTTCATTTTCAATTTCATTTTCTGCCACTGCTTCTGTTTTTGTTTGGTTTTTTTGTTGTACCGCTTTTTTTTGTCTTTTTTTTTGCCGGTTTTGTGTTGCGCGCACATTTTGTACACTTTTATTTTGCCATTTTTTGTGTTGTTTTGTATAAATAACAAATTGATTATGAAATCGCTGGCGAACTGTGTGTGTTTAGATCAACTACCAATACATTCGAGCACTTTGTGCTTAACCCTTCAAACATGCCATTATTTTTGGAGGTTATATCAATAATAATCACAATAATAACGAGAACAGCAGGCAAATCAACTAAACAATGGCAACTTAGCGACTAAAAAGAACACACACACACACACACACACACCTACATCCCTAACAAAGCTCAACAAAGGGGTTAGAAAAGGGGCGCAGCGGAGGGGGCGGGGCGGCGTAAAAAAGATAACATAAACGATAATCAAAAGCATTTAACTAAACAAAGCTTTAAAAACATAGGGTTTCAAATCAGAAAAAAAAAGCCGAAATTGTAATACCCTTGTTATAATAATATTACTTTAATCATTTCCCCAAAAAAAATTTCCTAACAAATAGAAAAAAATTTAAAACAACTATTTTCACCTTTAACTTTTTAAATTATAACAGGTTCTTTTCAAAATAGACACCCGATCTGCCAGATTTTCTAAATTAAATTAAGGAAAATATACAAATAATATACAATCAGCAAGGGTATCAAAACAGTTGGAAAATTGGTAGGAAGTAGCGGTTATTCATAAAGGTGGAATTTCGATAAAGAAAAAAAAACTAACTTTCAACCTGGCTGGCAAGATAAAATGCTATTTCCAAACATTATCATTTGCATTATCAGTTGTTCATTCTGGGTAGATATTACCTCATTGGCACAATCATAAGAAATTCATGGCAACATGCAAGTGACACACTTGTCGAAACCGAAACACCACTATCACCTCTTCAGGGGTGAGTTTTGCCCATTGGAGTGCAAATATAGTGGCGGGGAATACGAAGTCAAGCATGTAACCTATTGGGAACATATACAAAGTTCGCACATTATTAAAAATGGTACATTTTAATATTTTTTTTCAAAAATATTTTCTGTTCTCTAAAATTTAAATATGATTTCATAGAATTGGAAACCAGATATCAAGGAAATTATACCAAAAAGCATGCCTCATTTAAAACCTTTTATAAAACTGGGATTCCTAACTGTGTACAATTTATTGGATTTTTTACAAATGTGCAGTAACATTGGTGATACAAAATAGCTAAGGATTTTATTATAGAGAATGTAAAAACTTATAGTTTTTTTTGCTATAGTTCTGCCTTTAACAGTCACTAGTCTAATTTTAACACTGGAAATGGTTGTTAAATTCAAAAGATTTTGAAAAAATTGAAAAACTACTTCTACTATTGAAAGATTACCAGAAAATTGCAAAAATATATCATCCTGTAAGGATGTAGCCATTTGAAGAATATACCATCCTACAAGGAACCAAATTTTACTAGTTTCGTAGGTTGTTATTCATAAAATGGTAGACAATTGGAAAAATATACCATTCTGAAAACACCATTTTGTATTATAATTGCTTTTTTTTTGGGTTCAAATTTGGAAATATATTCCCATAAGGAACCCCATGTTCTAAAAACTTCTCTTGGAGTAATTTTGTAGGTTCTAAACCCAATTGTACTCTCTTCTCCTCCCTATATTACCTTATAAAATGTTTAAAAATTGGAAGAATATACCATCCTACAAGGAACTTGTAACCCTATATATCGTTATAAGATGTTACAACATTTGAAGAATATACCATCCTATAAGGAACCCCATACTGTAAAAACTTCTCTAGGAGTAATTTTGCAGGTTCTAACTTATAACCCTCTAACCCTACAAAATGTTAGAAAATTTGAAGAATATACCATTCTACAAGTACTTGTAAAATGTTAAAAAATTGGAAGAATATACCATCCCACAAGGAACCCTTGTGGGTTGCAACTTCTAACCCTGTATAACGTTATAAGATGTTATAACATATACCATCCTATAGGAACCCCATGCTCTACTTACTTCTCGCGGTGCAGCAGACAGATGCGATCCTTGGCCACCTTCAGCTTCTTGGCGATGATCTTCTTTAGGCTCTCCACGCTGATGAACGGCTCGACGCTGACGCCGAAATTGCCGCCGGTGGTGGTGCTGATGTTCAGGTTGATCGTCATTGGGGATGCCACCACGGCACTTGTTGTTGTTGCTGCTGCTGCTGATGAGGATGTTGTTGCCAAACGCTGCAAGTCGCCGTTGTTGTTGTTGTTGTTGCTGGTGGTGGTGGTATTGCTACCGCTGCCGCTGCTGCTATTGTTGCTGCTGCTGCCACACCCAGCTGCTGCTGCTGCTGCTGCTGCCTCGTTTTGGCCATCGGCAGTGGCCGAGTTCGTGGCCGCTGATTTATCCATGTCCGGTGCTTTTTCTTTCTTTTTTTTTTTTGTTTGAAGAGGTTTTAGAGGAGCTCGTCTCTCGCTCTCGCTCTCTCTCTCTGTTGCTCTCTTTCGCTATCACACTCTCTTAAGAGGACTTCACAGGCAAAAAAATAAAAGCAATATCTGTTGAAAATCGCGTAACGGCACACACGCGGCGACTGCGGCGAATAGTAGCTCAGCTCAGCTCGACTCGGTTCAAATTGCCAATCGATTTCCTATACACACCACACCTTGCACACGCACACCAACACACCAGCACACGCTCACACAGCGACACGCGCGGGCGACGTAACGGTAACCGTAACGTAACGAACGCCGAAGATGATGATGATGATGATGACGAAGAAGAAGAAGAGAGGCCGCTAATCGATTTTCGGTCTATCTAGTTTGTGGGGCGGTGCGGGGTTTGGGGGCGGATTACGTGAGAGCGACGGCGGAACGACAGCAACAACAACAATGTCGATGTGTAGGAGGCGGGGGAGGCGGTAAATCTCTGAATCTCTGCCCAGGTACGCATGTATGTGCAAGAGGAAGAGGAAGATGAAAAAAAAAACCCGTATTCGCTTGGCTATTGAGCTATTTTATTTTAGCTATTGAGTCCCGGTGTTATATTTTTTATTTGATTTTTTTTTTTTGCATTTATGTTTGTGTTCACCTCAGTTCAGTTTTGCTGCTGCTGCTGCTCACCGCGCGTCTCTTGCTTTTGCTTTTGACTTTAAGTTAGTAGTTGGTGGTTCTGCAACAACTCTGCTGGCACAACCACTACGCACACACACACACACTCGGCCTGGAGAGTCACACACTGGCAAGTCAAGCGGCGCCAACCGCCAAAGAGCATCTAAACGACTTACGGGGCTCGAAAAAAAATCCACTCCACGGCTAGAGGTGGCAAAACATCGATATGTATGTCATCGATGTTTTCAAAGCATCGGTGACATCGATGTTTTGCAAGCCCATATCGATATTGAAGCTCTCTCGCTCACGCAGAAGTCTTCTATCTCCCTCTTTTACTGAACTTTTGCTTACGTTCAAACACAAAAATACTGAAAAAACGATTTCGTGGCAAGATAAACCATCTCGTATTCGCTGGATGTGCAATGCTCTTATCCTTCTAGCTCACTTCTAGCTTAATATTTTACCGTATTTAGCTTAAAAACATTACACACAATAAAAGGCTTAAATTAATTTGAGTTTGGCGCCAACCGTCAAAGAGTATCTAGCATCTATCGACTTGCGAGGTTAGAAATAAAATCCACTCCAATGTAGAGCTGGGAAACTATCGATGGCACTATCGACGAATCGAATTCTTAGCTTCCTGAGCCATTAAAAAATTAAATATTATTATTATTATTAAAAAGAAAAGGTAATTATATTTATTTTTTATAAACAATGTATGTAAATTCAACAAACACATCAAATCTCTTCGAACATCTAAAGCGTGTACATCCAATATTGAACGTTGAAGATTTGGCGGTGTCTTCATCGAAGATTGATTCCATTTTAATCTTTCATTCTGTTGATCTCCTTTTAAGTTCTATATGTAGTTATAGTAGTATAGTAAAGTCTAAGTATTAGTTAAAGTTCATAGTATGATACATAAAATATGATAAACAAAACATGACATACGAAAAAAAATTCTATATTGCTTATAATTTTAATTTTTTAAATGAGCTTTACAAGAAACGAAACTATCGATGGTATCGAATTTTCTCTCCCAAAACATCGAATGGGGCCACTATCGATAGTTTCCCAGCTCGACTCCACGGCCCCGGGAAACACACTAACTATGCCCGCAAGGCATGGTCGCTTGGTAAGTTAGGATTTTCGCAGCACAGCCTCACTGAAGCACGAACTATCGATAGTTCGCCTTAGCCCTGGGCGAACTCTATTCGATTGATGGCGCCATATATATCAAGATTCGTCTATTTCTCAGTACCGAATACGGTCTAACTAACAGTACTGAATCATTTTTTTTCATTTAATCTTAAAGTTTTTATCCCAATTTAATTTTTTACAAAGACGATTTTTTTTTGTATTTTGAGGATCTATTATGAACACAATCCACAATGAGATTCATCATGGAAGCGGATGGTGAGTTCCCCCGACTTATGGCGATGGGTTTCCCTATAAGGAATCGCAATACTCCCGCTTGCAGACCCCTCCTTTGGACGAATCATTTGTTAATTACCAAAGAAAAATACTAGAACATTCATTAAAAATCACTGTTTTTATCGGCTAAAACCAGATATTAATGAAAATAAAGAATTAAAGAACGGTAGTTCCGAAGCCAAGCTATTGAGGGTTAATTCAAGCTCCTTGTCTGAAAGTTTCATCCAAATAAAACCCACAGTTTTCGAGAAAATAGCCTAACAGTGACGCAGCCTCGGATTTTCTCCACACCAAAAAATGGGGGGCAAAAATGAAATTACCTACGGCTCCACTCCAAGAAGTTGTGCCAACATGCACGGTATATGGGTAGATATATAGATAGGGGATAATCTAAGGAGTGTTCTGTGAAAAGTTTATAAAAATCAAACCTACAGTTGGGGGTGTTTAAAAGGTTAATAAAAGGCCGTTTAATCCAGAAACTGAACCATTGGATACTAAGACATGAACCACAATGTAAATAGCTTAGCCATGACAATCGTTCGACGCTAACTTTCTATAACTTTATACAACTTTCACAGAGGTTGTGCCAACTTGCACGGTATCGCATTCGAAGGGGCATCATTTTAGCCACCCTTTTTTTCGACATAAAAATTCAGTTTTTTGGCTGCCAAAACAAGTGTTTGTCAGAATAAGGAATGTCATACCTCGCTGAGCTCGTTGCTTAATTTCCAATCGATTGGCATTCTAACCTTAAAATTTTTAATTTTTTGCCATTTTTCGAAAAAAAGCTATGCAACCCCTACAAAAAATGAGAAAATTGGTCAAAAAATAAATTTTCCTAAGAATGATGAGGATCGTTAGCATTTTAAGCAAGCTGTTCAAAACAGTCGGTCTTTTAGCTGTACGCCTTAATTTGACTGAGCTACGATGGAAAAAGTGAACAAAAATTTCGCATTTTTGACAAAAATCTGAGTTTTGTATTTTTGACAAAAATTTGAACCCTTTTTTTCGACATAAAAATTCAGTTTTTTGGCTGCCAAAACAAAAGTATTTGTCAGAATGAGGAATGTCATACCTCGCTGAGCTCGTTGCTTAATTTCCAATCGATTGGCATTCTAACCTGAAATTGTTTAATTTTTTGCCATTTTTCGAAAAAAAGTGATGCAACCCCTACAAAAAATGAGAAAATTGGTCAAAAAATAAACTTTCCTAAGAATGATGAGGATCGTTAGCATTTTAAGCAAGCTGTTCAAAACAACAGGTATTTATCGATATATCGCTAAGTGCCAGGCTACGAAAAATATATATTTTTTAAATCAAATTTTCATTGTGATATGTATGCACCCCCTAATTGGTGTTTATTTCCTGATTATTTTAATGTATACTTAATCGAAATCGAGCCAGTGGTTTGGTAGAATTTAACATGTTATTGATTTTAGAAAAATATAAAAATTCCCTAGTTTCTATTGTGGAGTTGCCATACTGCCGAAAACAATCCCCGTTACTTTTTGCGGGAAGTTCATAAAAGATGGCACGCCAAATTTCGATGATAAAATGCGTAAGTTTATTTTTGATTTTACTTATTAATTATATTAACAATAAAAAAATTTATTTTTCAGACAATCACCAATTTTTATCTGGGGGATTCCTAGACGGAGCCGCAACGTCGGCGGCAGCGGGAGCGCTCCGCCGACAGAGAGGAGTCGGCAAGTCGGCGCCGACGTCGTCCTGGTGACGAGGATCGGAAAGGCCGACGCTAATTTGATGGACACATCGTTGGAACTCTGTTTTAAATTTGAAATCTAAATACACACATCTGGCATCCCTACTTCTAAGCATGGGCAACTCCACGCCCAAAGCAACTCTGCATTGACCGTTACTCCGAAAACTTTAAACACCTAAAGTAAGGGTTAAATATTTTGTTTTAGGTCCTATTTATAAATATATTTATATTTAATTTTCAAGAAAGAAAACTTTATTCAGAAAGATAAATCCCTTTTAATCAAGTGTTTTATATATTCTTAAATATTTCATACTTGTATATTAAGAAGCAATCAATTTTGCTCAACAGGAGTGCAGTAAAGCCGCGTAATGCAATAAGTTTGAGGGTCGCCAGCTTCTGATTGACTGGCTGACAAATGGTTGGCCCCACTTTGGAACTTTGCAACGGCCACGAGCCACGGGCCACCTGCAACGTGTGCGGAAATTGGTGCCAACTGTCATAACAAGATGGAGCACACAGATACAAATATGTATGTATGTACTCGGTGGCAGTGGCTGTCGGGAACAATGGGGCGTGGCAGTGGGCGGTGGACAGTGGGCGGGCACTTCGTTGGCGTCCAACTGCCTCCGTCAGGCAATAATAATTCGCCAGTCATTGACAATGTCGGTGCCATAATGGCTCTCCACTGGCTCCGGTCAGGTCCCCAACTATTCTATCCTTGGCTCCTTCCCCAAACCATTATCCCATTACCCAAGCCACCTGCTCCACCTCCTCCTCCTGCTCGACCTGCCCTTTGGTGCACTGCGTCGACGACGTTGACAAAAACGAAATGACAGAGGGCGCGCACCCGACACCTACAATTGTCAGCGTCGTCTAAATGAATGAATTAAGTCAGCAATGTGACATAACTGCAATGACCGGACCCGGACTCCGTACCCCTACCCGTTCCAGAACCCACCTCCATTCCCAGATCCAGATTCTCCCCGAGACCCGAAATCGGGTGGGGTGAGGCAGGAGCCTCTGCCACGACAGCAAAAGTAGGCACCACCATTTCCAGCAAAAGCCAACCCTGCACATTTGCCACATTGTTTCGTTGCTGTCATTCTTGATGTCGCTGCACTGTGGTTCCAGCAGTCCTCTTAATTTTAAATTTTTTAAAAATATTTAAAAATAAAATTAACATTAAATTGTCCAGTGGGCTAGCCACTGATTTCATTAAGTTTCTAGCTTATGTATAAGTATGTAAAAACAAGTTTTTCCGGGAATTCCTTTCCATGTACAACTAAAATCGGTTCTATTGCTTTTTTAATCAACCGCGAATTCTTCAGCTTCCCTAGAACTAATTTGGGATTTTTCATAATTTGTCAAGCAGGTAATTCTTTTTCGGAAATGTAATCAATATAACAAATCTAAAATACACATAGCGATCCAAACGAAGCAAACGCGAATTCTTGAGCACCACCTGGTTTATTATGGGATTTTCCAAGAAGATACTTGTTTTTTTCTATAACTTGGCTTATATTTTAAGACTTTTAATTCAAAAGTTCTGAACATAGTTACTTATCAATCATGAGTTTTATTTTAAATGTGTTCTAATATATGTATGTTATTCTTAGACAAGTAAAATACAAATCTGAAACATGTGTTATTTTGTAGAAGATATTTCGGAGCTTCATTATTAATCCACTGATAAAACTAAATATATAGCATCAGTCCACTGATAAAACTGAATATATAGCATCAAAATAACCATATCCTTTATGTGTTTTAAAAAAAATTCCATCTATTTTTTTATTCTGCTCATAGCTATATTAAAAAGGCTTTTAAAATGTAATTTTTTAAAAAATCCTTGGTACTTAAATAAAGTAAACTGGCGTATGCCAACCACTGTGCTGTTGTGATTACGTACTGCACTTGCTGCACAATGGACATCTACGATGACAATGACGCCGGCCAAGTTATATGGCACACACGTAGGGCAACTCCAGCACACGCCCACGCCGGTGGCACCTCCTCGACCTCCGCCCGC